GTGTTTTCCCCTACACTTCTTTCGTGTTCTACCGCTTCCTGCGTGCTTTACAACAGAACAGAGCACAGTCAGGGCTTCTTTATTTGTTAAATAAAGGAATAGCCCCCTGCACACATGCATTTTGCATGGACTTGTCAAGCAGCGGTTCCTTCCAGATACTGTAGGTGTGCATTGAAAGGTCTTAAAACCCTGACTGTATTTAAAGATGAAGCAAAAGATACACAATGTACTGATACTCCGTTTAAGACCCAAACCAAGAAAAATGGTATCCAATTCAAGGAAAAAACAAAAACTATGAATGGCACGAACGGGTCAGCTGTATTTCACTTCTGTGACACTGGAAGTTTAAAAGCATCAAGTGTAGAACTTATTTTCTGTTTAGCCGGGCATTTACACACTGCAATGTTAGCGGACACAATTTAGGTAGATACCCTGTCTAAAGATCACTGTGAACGCAATTAATGTCAACAGGGGCAAAAATGATACCCTATTTAAGGATTGAGAACCTCAAAAATTATACCCTATCCCATGACACAAATCTACATAGCCCATACATGGGAGTACCCCCCCCTCCCTTGGGTGTTTCCTCCAAAGAGCATCTGTATAGGAGGCTAACACTTACAATACAATGAGGACAGACAAATCCACTCATGTTCTCCACCACTCTAGGATTGGGATTTTAATTTTCTTGCAGAATGTTGGTTCTCTTCTGACGTCAGACACTGCCACACCCTGAGAAACAACAGAAATGTTATTCAAAAATCCATGAAAATGCCAAGTATTACATACTAGTTCATTCTGGTAAATGTCTTGCAAATCTTTATTAAGCAATTGAAGATGGAGAATTATCCCATGCCCAGGAACATCTGCTGATATTTTTCTTTGAGAACAAAGGGAAAAAAATGAGGGTTAAAATGTCAAAACTGGAGACTAATTTTGCCAATCAACTGATACTAAACTAATCTTAGGTTTTGACCAAACAATGATTAGAGCCAATTCCACCTGAATTGATTGGCTATTAAAAGGCTAATAAATGCCCAAGTGAAAGGCTGGCCTTTCTTCAATGCTCTCAGGGCTAAATCAACAATTTATTATGTAGTCAGAATACACAAATTTTAGCAAATGTAAACTTTCCGAAATCTGAATAAGGCTTACTAATAATTGACAACATTTATAGAAAGTTTATTATAAATAAATACTTTAATATGCATACCCGAGGGGTAGTGACAAAAATTGCTCCATCTGGATTGTAATGTCACAGATTTTCTACTGACTGTAATCATTTATGTGCTCATCAGATGTTCCTGGATTGAACAAAACCAATCTTAGAACACAGCAATAATGATAGGATTACACTGCATACTACAAAATGACTGTTCACTATTGTACTATCAGCAAAGTTAACAATAAAAAGTATATCTGCTCTGATCAGGGGAGGTCAACTCCAGTCTCCTAGTATGGAGTATTGTTACCTCTCCCTTAAATGTCCTTAATGGGGAGCTAGCCTACTGCTGGATGCCCCCTTGTATCCCTGTATTTTTGCAGTTCAGGTTGGCCANTTTTGCTCTTTGCATATATTTATTTAATTTTTGGAACTGTTCTAAAAAATTGCAGCGATTTTTTTTACTTTGATCGAGGTATGGAGTGAATAGAAAAGCGAGATCTTACCCCTCCCTGGAGCATTTGACCATAACTGCTTATCCGATAGAGCAAACATGGCGGAGGTAACGAGAGTTTTGACAAAGTTTAAATTTTGTTGTTTTTTGTATACGATGTTGTTTCCTTCAAAATCCTTTAAATCCTTTTGTTTACTTCAGAGAATCCATCATTATTTCGAGGAGCTCTTAGCAAGGTAGGGACAAGACGTGTAAAACTCCGTTTTTATCAGAAGTCAAATGCAGGTCTCGTGACTAAAAGATGACAGTCTTCTTGAAAATCTTCCTCGATTTCTTTGCAGGCACGAAGGAATTCTCGCTATACTGGTTACAGACAGAGATGGAGTTCCACTTGTGAAAGGTAAAACAATTTCTTAAGTTGTATATCTTGGTCGTTTGGTTGGTTGTCCTCATTGTAGAGTGTGAATCTTTTCTGCTACTGCTTAGATTTGAGTGAAGTTTGTTAAAAAAAAAATGGGGCTGGTGTTTTGAGATTTTTGATCTGGCTTATTGTGATAACTAAATAAAATGATCTCGCTCCATACATTGGGGCTTAAACTGACAACAGGATATGGAATTCTTACTGATTATTAATCTTATTATACATATACATTGGGTCTCAATCCCTATTCAGTGAGCCGCCTTATACTCAAACAATATTGGTTAATTTGCAAAGAATATGACTGGATCACCCTGCTACATTTACATGTAGTTGTACTATAAAGACAAACATTGTGAAAAGTTTGGACAAAACTTAAATTTTTCTTTTTTTTAACCATTTATTTATTATCTGGTGATATATATTTTAGTTGCTGATCCTAAAACTCCACAAAATGCCTTGAGGGCAAGTTTTCTGTCAACATTTTCTACAACAGCAGAACAGGTAAGAAAAACCAGTATGCTAAGGTCTTAGTATGGCTAATGTACATTTATAAGACCTGTTATTATATCCCTCTAAAATTTAAAGCTGTTTTTGTTACCAAAATGTTTTGTGATTTATTGCCAGGTGATCTTAACCTTATATCAAGTAAAAGTTACTTTTACTTCTAAAATTGTGCATTAAAACCTGCAAACGACTTAAGAGTCACTCAACAACAATTCCAAATTGACTCGTTTTGATTTTGACGTATGTCAGAAATTTGAAGCTGTTCCGGGAGAATAGAAATAGTTCCTGAACCTGGCAGAGACATAATAAATATCTTACTAGCCTTGTCTTCTTGGTCCATACTGTAAGTTATGGATCCTCATTTTCCCACTTCAATTTATGGCCAGCACACTTCGCGCTTGGGCTATAAATCGATGGGGAACAAACTTACAGTACAGCACTCTCTCCAAGAAAGGGGAGTTAAAGGAGTCAAAATCTAAGACATTTCTTGGGGGAGCATTGTCCCAGACCCCTCTCGCAAATCGGTCAATGTTTACCCAAGATCTGCCCTTGGCAAGTTCGCCCATAGCATCAAGGGTCCATCAAGCATACTCAGCCATAACAGGTGTTATGGGTTGCAGCCCTTACTGAGAGGCCTGAGCTGTAAGCATCCAGCTCTTATGAGTTAGCTTATCAACTGGTTCCTCCAGTGTCCAAGAATGGAACAGACTTTTTTGTTTTACCTCATAGAGATTTTATTAATTTTGTGAATACATGTTAGGAGCATTTTTCACTTGCAATTGCCACTTTCTTTTAGGCAAGCAAGTTAGGATTGTCAAGAAATAAGAGCATTGTTTGTTTCTTTGCATCCTATCAGGTAAGACTGTCCGTGTACAGATACAGTGCAGTATATATCAAGACCAACTTGAACATAGTCATGTAGATGTATGTGTTCAAGAACATGGTGTTTGGAATTTTCTAGCCTCTTCCAGGCATTCAGTTTGTTGGGGCACAGCAGGAAAAATGGTGCGCAAAAAACTGAAAAAAGCGTGGCAAGAAGAGACGAAAGAACTCCTGTGGGCAAACTTGACAAAAGGTCATTCTGGTATACCAGGATCTGGTATACCCTCTGACTGGTAAATTTTGACAGGTTTTTTGTAATGCTCGATCATCACTGATGCAGATTAAATGCGATATGGCAGTGGTCAGAGACCTTTCAACTGTGATGCGGCGTTTCTCCTCTCGTGGCTGAAATGAAAGTCCAAGTGGACAGATAAAGAAAATTGGAGTTGCAGTAACTGCAATAGGTATTGAGAAGACATGGACCAAGATGCCGCAAAGAACAGAAAGTGTGAGATTATGTGTAAAATGGGGTTAACAGGCCTACACAACTTAAGTGGGTGGAAGGCGCTTTTGTTAAGTTTGCCCACAGGCATTCTTTTGCTGAGTTTCTCTCCCATTTTTGCACTTGCCGTTTTTAGCACTGTGCCCCAACTAACTGAACACCTGGAAGAGGCTAGAAATTTTTTGAGATACAGATACAGTGAAGTTTTTAATCAGCCACCCATACGAACAATATATAAAGCCACCTACCTCGAACTTTGTGACAACTGTGCAGAACACAGGGATACTTCATATAATTTTCTTGAATGAGAATTATACATCCAATCAACTTAACTTGTACCCCATTATATCTTGTGCTATATACATGCTAAGCACATGTAACAATTATTGTTAGTGACTAATCCAAAGTGCATATGGCCTTACAGTTTTTAGTTTGCCCCTCAAGCAAACTGTACATGTAGCTACATGTATGATGTACTTACTACTCTAAAAGTCATTCTTGCCATCCCACAAGAAATATCCTTCAATTATGATTGATTAATTTAAAATTAAACTGATATAGAATAATTTGATCTTGTACAGTACCCCTGTAATTTGAATTTCTTCAAAAATGTTCCCAAAAGACTTCACTTGCCCATCGCATGAGCCAAGGATAGAATCCACTTGCCCAACTGCAAAATCCACTAGTCTCAGACAATTGCACGTGATTTTCTTTCCCTGCTCTATCAACAAACCTCTAACAACAGCCTCCCTTCCGCAGTCAGATTTGTTCATCCAAACCATGCACAAATCCATACTTTTTCTCTTTTTGAAATGATGGCCAACTCCAGTGCTTTCAATAAGACAGCACCTGCAAGAGCTTTGATGAACATTCTGTGAAGAATCACCAGCTGTCAGCAGTTTGCTAAACTGAATTGCCTCCCTCCCCCTAGAGGGAGTTATCGAGGTCAGACATCCCTTATTGCACTCTGATGGTAAAGCACTACACCTCTTTTAAATGCCCAGTTAATTTTTCCCAATGCAGAGAAAGTCAACTGTCACTCTCTTTCTATTCTCAAAGAATGAATAATTATTATTGTTTTGCTGGCAGGTGGTCCATTTCAGTTTTCTTCCACTTGTGGTCAGCATCATTGCAACAAGTCAGGCTAATACAGGTTAGTGCAAAGGCAACTCTTCCATTCACGTCTGACAACAACAGGCTTGTGCAAATTGACCCACACACTCTCCCATACTGATAGGTAGACTTGGAGCAGTCCCTCCTTATTCTTGTAACGCAACAAAAGTGTCATGAACATCGCAGCACAGAAGAACTTTACATTGGCACGTTGCCACTAATTTTTGTTCACCTCACAAGTGATGAAATTCTCAGGAGAGGTTAACTCTGGAGGGGGGGGGNGTGTGCCATGAAGGGTCTTTTGAGAAAACCTTTTCCCTATACGGTTCAACTTTATTTCGTTTCTGTAACATTGGAAGTTTACGAATTGTTCAGTTTTAACAGATAATTTGTGTTTTGTTTAGCTGGGCAATTACACACAGCAATTTTAGCTGATACGATTTAGGTACCCTATCTAAGGATCATACTGGGAACACCATGCCAACAGGGGCAAAAATGATACCCTTATTAACGATCGAGAACCTAAAAAACCATATCCTATCCCGCGGCACATACCCATGTAGACCATATATGGGAGTATCGGGAGTTAACAATAGAGAGTTTAAGCATGACGTTTACGGCAGACGACAAACGGCACAGATTATCTCTGAATTTTTATTCTTTTCTTTTAATCCGTAATAAATCACACTGAAATAGAAAAATGTCTCCTACTATTCACCGCAAATACAAATATTTTCACTCTACTAGGTACAGACAGCTGAAGACAGACGGCAAAAGTTTCATTTTTGCCGTTTGCCGTTTGACGTAACGTCATGCTTAATCTCTCTAATATCTGTGGTGATACCTCAGATGATAACTACAGGACTGCTATACGAACTGAAAGGATCAACAGCATGTTCACTGCCTCTTCCATAGGTTTACAATAAAGCAAATCACTGATATCACACAGCCGTTTCATGTCCAGGAGATATATACGCCTGTTGTGACTTTTTTCTTGCAGGACTTCTTCTTGGATTAGAAAACGAATTTGCAGAAACAGTGAAAGCAGTAAAAGTTGTGGTTGATGGCGTGTAGTACAGAAATTTAATATTATATTTTATAATCAGCGAAGAACTGTCGCAGCGCAAGAATAGAATCAAGAAATAAATTTAATCACTTGTTTTTACAACAGTGTTGTTTATTCCAGAATTCTCTCGGTGAAATCCGCCAAGAGTAAAAGCCCATATATTGTAACACCCCGATATTAGCAACTCCCTCGCTTACAAGGCGTTCCTCTCCGTAATTTCTTTCACCCACTGTTTTCTATTTCAGATTTCTTGTACAGGTAATCAAGTGATTTTGAGTGCAATTTTGAACAAGAAGTTCGGGAAGCTTTAAACCGCGCGGTCAGATTTAAAGTGAATTTTTGTAATAAAAATAAGTGGAAGTTTAAGAGGTTCATTGTGTTGGCGAGCGCCCGCATTCAAACGCTGAAACCTGTCCACTTGACGTTGCGCACCACATTGGAAAAAAGGGGAAATTTTTGGTAAAAAAATTCAAGTGTCAAGAACATGGCGATTTTGTAGTGTGCTCAATCTCAGTCAATTTGTCAACCAGAAAACCAAATGACTTTTGGAATCACTTGGCATTTCCAGAGAAAGATAGAATACTCTCAAGTGCTTTCCGTTGAAAATCTGTCAAGATCGTAGCTACTGCGCAATAGAAACAGCCCACGATACCGTCGTTTGAATTTTTATTTTTACTTTATCCTAAAATAACCTATGCAAATGGAAGAACACCTCAAAAGTAGAGATTTTGCAAAGTTTCAGCTCGAAATCTCGCATAGAAGAGAAGGGGGCGTCTCTTTCTTGAATTAAGTAGCCTGCGAGCAGGCTCATGTTGGAGCACAGCGCGCGCGAGCGGCGAAGCCGCGAGACGAGAAAACTTTCTTGGCGCCTCTTCACCAGACTCCTTCCGGCCGGATTGCTTTACTCTTCGCCGCTCGCGTGTGTGACTCAAAGCTGAACCTGCTCGCAGGCTAGATTAAAGAACACTCAAATTTATCCTCGCTTTTTGGGTGATCGTGACATTGGCTCGTGACGTCACGAGAAACATGGCTCAAACTTTTAAATCTCTTAAGTAAAACACTTTAAAAAACCGCACAAAGAAAAAAAAATTAATGTAAAACTTAACTTGCCACAACGGCTAGTTTTGTTATTCTTCTACAAATTTCACCGCTTCTTCACGACTAGTTCGTCATAAAATTACAACTTAAAAAGCTCAAAAACCAGCTCTTAAATTTTCTTTCCACTTCCGCCAGAAATAAGCGACAAAAGTAAAAACGTTTCTTCTTTTGAGAATTGCGCTCACCCTAGGCCGCGCAAGTAAATTTTTCAGACTAAAAGAAACTGCTCACGCTTGTAGGGCGAGTGCAATTTGCAATCTTTTTGAAAATTTCACGAGTGCATATTTCTTCCAATTTGCACGAAAAATTATGATATGATTACTTGCTAATAATAAACATGCAATTTAATTTCAACTTTCTGGACTCAATTTCAACTTTCTGCACTGTTTGGGAATTAACTGGCGTGTTCTCAGTTAATCAGCACGCTGTCAATTTTACATTTATATTTTTAGGAATGGAACAATTCCATATACGGACGTACAAGAGCCGTCAAGAACGACTCCGGTGCGAACTATTTCATCTTCGAGTTTTAAAATTCATTTCTTCGTCTATGTAGATAGTTCGAGTTCTGATCTATTTTGTGTAAAATACAGTGCAAGTACTGCAGAGACATTATTTTTGTTCTTTATACCAAGTATTTAACGCACTGTAGTTACATTTTCTGCAATTTCCGTTAATTTTTCACACAAATTATGAACAGAACGCGAGCCAAAAAATAAATTGTCAAAGTTACTGACGCCAGAAGCCTTCATGAATGAAACATTAATTTAATTCCTTATATATAACTCTTGGCCGAGGAAAAATATTTGAACAAAGGTCATGTTCTTCAGCTGTACTCCAGGCAAGAAAGTCTGCTTCCGTTGAACTACCTCCAAGTCCCGTTTATTAACTTTCTTTCGCGGTGACATCTCTCAAATGTTTTTACGGAAGATCTTGCCGACCATCTCCTTGATTTCTTGCTTCATTTTCTCGTCTCGTATTGAATATATGAAGGGGTCGATACAGCAGTTACAGAGAGTCAAAACCAGTCCTGCACGGACAAGCGAAGGTGGAACCGAATTTGGCGCGAAAAGCTTCCAGACCGTCGCCAGCGTGTACAATGACCAGCATGCGCAGAATGAGCCAATCAGCAACAGGACTGTTCTCAACGCTTTGTTGTCTTCAGCGGTCGCAGTGCTACTTGTGTGTTTTGCGGCAGCGACTTTTGTCAGTGGAACATCCTCTCCCGCGGGTTTGCCCGTGGGACGACTGCGATATACAGCTTCCCTTCTCGAAGCTCTCGCTATACGGTAAATCTTGTAGTAGGCGCAAATCATGGCCCCAACAGGTACGGCGAAGGCAAAAATAGCCAAGCAAAGCGCGTATGTTTTATTTGCCAGCCCTTCACCTCCCCAGTCGGGTTTGCAAGTGTGCGTGAACTCGTCCAACATGGTGCTACCCCATTTGAACAGTGGACCGCTGGCCCAGAATACTGAATGCACCCAGCTTGCGATAATGAGTAGCTTGTAGCGTTTTTTAGTGAATGTGATGTGAGCTCTGTTTTCAACTGGCTTAGAGAGAGCATTATATCGGTCCACACTGATGATCGTAAGAGTCATTATGGAGCAGTTGACTGACAGGCTGATGAGGACTGCGTATAACTGGCACAATGTGTCTCCAAGTGGCCATCGGTGTAGAATAAACGCTGTTATTACCAGCGGTATGCAAAACATTCCTAAAGGAGAAAACGAAAACAAAATTGAAACTGGGCGCTGATATCAAGGATTTGAAATTCAAAAGCCCTGCACATTTCCAATTAATAACATCAGACAGTGCCTAGCCTACGTGTAGCCGTACCCACCCCCTGAGGAAAAACGGAGAGAGACAAACACCTGAACCCCCCCCCCCC